GAGCACCCAGCACCTACATCTTGGTTTCTAAATACTATTCTCCAATAAAAGGAACCAGGACTCCTTGGAGAAATGGCTGATTCCAGGGCTGGGTCAGGAAAAGTACAAAATGAGCCTGGAAGATCTTCTAGTGCCAGAAAATGGGGACATGCTCAAAAAAAAATGACAAGTGCATGTAAAAAGGACCCAGGATGGAGTCCCGGAGCTTGATGGAGTCGATGGAGCTCCCAATGGCCAAATCAGGGACAATTTGAGCCACAAAGTAAATAATGACAGCAATGGATTGTAACCTATAAAATAAATATCCCTGAGTTCATACTAAGACAAATAATCATTGAATAACGAGATAAACAGGGAGAAGGGACAGTGCTTCCTTACAGCACAATTCCAATCAATAAATCCAGAAAGTTATAGATAAAACAATAAAAAATAAATCCAGAAAGAATGATGCAACTAGAAAATGACCATTTGGGAAACACCACAGTAATAACTGTTGTAAGTAAGAATCGTCAATGGTCTTCAATAGATGCTAAAATTAGTGGGGGGAGTATAACGGAAAACAAGATATTTGCATGAGCTCTAAGTATATCCCCATAAGATAATTATTAATGACAAAGAGGAAAGGAGTAATTTAACGGTGGAGAAACCTGGCAGACACCTCCAAGTGGTGTCTTGGCAAGTGGTCGAAGTTAACGTCACCAGCGTTGGGACAAACTGACATCTCGGTACCTCCTGAAGCAATGACTGAGAGGGGCACAACACTGCTTCCCTGGGGTTCCTGCCAAAACTACCCAAGATGAATAAAATCGTGAATAAACATCGGAAAACCCCAACCCGAAGAACACACTTCAGAATAATTGGCCAGTACTCTTCAAAAGTGTCAAGGCTGTGAAAGACATAAACCAAAGAAGCATCTCTGATTGAAGGGTGCTAAAGAGACGTGACAACTAAGATGTGTGATCCTGGATTGGATCCTGGATCAGAAAGGAGACGTTACTGGGACAACTGGTGAAATCTGCATAGGATTTGTAGACTCATTCTAACGTGGGATCGGTGTTCACTGCCTGGTTTTGATCGCGTGGGATCGGTGTTCACTGCCTGGTTTTGATCGCTGTACTATATATCTTTGCAAGATGTTAACCTTTGTGGAAACCAGGTATACTAGAGCTCTTTCTACTGCTTTGGCAAAATTTCTGTAGGTCTGAAATGATATCAACTTGAAAAGTCAAAAAATAAAAGTCGATAAAACGCAGCAAGCAGGTAAGTAATTGAGAGAGGTGATGAGTGCTGCACAGGTGAGATGGGAAGGGCAGAATAGAAGGGAATGTTTGATATCAGCCTGCCGGGCAACACCGATTATGCTGAGACCCCAGTGAGTGGGAAGCACCCAGCTCAAAGCAGAGGGAGAGGTGCTCTGGCCGAGGAACAGCGTTGCAACAGCCCTGAGGCAGGAAAGAGTTTGCTCTTCATCCCTAGGAACACACAATAGAGAATCATGGGGGGATCTGATGTACGGCCCTGGAAAGACAGGAAGACAACCGATGTTGAAGAGCCCTGGAGATCATAAGGAAAAGCGTGGAATGTTACTCCAAGTGTGTTAGGAAGGTTTTGGCCATTGTGTAAATTTCCTTTGAGACACTTAACGATTCTTTGAAATTATAATCCATAGTGGGACTACTTGGTTAACGCCAGCCTCTCCGAGAGAACAGGAACTCCGGCCATCATGTACCACTTTACAAAGGCATGTAACAGCCATGCAAGGTTCATGTGGGGGAGGAGTAGATGGACAAAGGTTAGGGTGCTGGGAGACCTGGGTGGCCCTTGGTATCGGTTGTGAATTGAATTGCATCCCCAAAAAGATATGTTCAGATCCTAACCCCTGGTACCTGTGAATGTGACCATATTTGGAAATAAGGTCTTTACAGATGTAGATGCAGTCTTATTAGATCAGGGTGGCCCTGAATCCAGTGACTGGTGTCTTTATAAGAGAAAGAGAGGGAGGTTTGGATACAGAGCTGCAGACACACAGAGAAGAAGGACAGCCCTGTGACGACAGAGGCAGAGATTGAAGGGATGCAGCTATAAGCCAAGGATGCTTGGAACCCCCAGAACCTGGAAGAGGCAGGAAGGACCCTCCCGCAGAGTCTCAGGAGAGAACGTGGTCCTGCCCACCCCTTGATTTCAGACTTCTGGTCTCCAGACTGTGAGAGAATAATGTCCTGCTGTTTTCGGTCCCCCAGTTTGCTGTCCTTTGTGGTGGTGGCTCCAGGACACACAGCCATGAGGGGAAGTACTGGGTTAACCTCCGTCTCTCCCTCTTCGTTCTGCGCACCCCCCTCAGGCTATTGACCACGTTTACTTATTAAATAGTTACTTATTAAATATTATTTAAAGTAGTACTTAATTTTTTTAAATCCAGTTCAGACCAAGCCCCTTTTAAAACTCAGTCTTGCCCTTGGCAATGTGGGCTGTGAAAGCACAGTTTTGCTACAGTAACTGCAGCTGCTTTTTAACACCCCCTAAAATCGATGCATAACCGCTGGAATAAGAAATGCTCACCACTGCACCTAAAATCGCCTGGCACACCTCCCAGAACCTCAGAACAAGCCAATTAGGATGGGGGGGGGGGGACAAAAAACAGTGCTTTTCTTTTGCCTTTTGCCCCTAAAAGAAAGGTATCTGAAGACCTGATTATTCTCCATCTGCTCTGGCTACAAACCCCATGTCTTTTCTCCACCCCTCCCACCCCCCACCATTGATTCAGACCTACGCTTTTCACGTTCTTTGAAGAAAACACGGATGGTGGACCTGGGTGTAAATATTCTCCCAAGGCTCCATTTTTTTATCTGGAAAATGAAGATAATCACGTCCATCTAATAGAAGTGTTGTGAAAAGTAGATAAGAAAAGGGAAGTAGATAAGAAAGGGGCAGATCTTTTTTATTCCACTTATACAAAATATCCAGGATAGGCAAATCCATAGAGACAGAAAGCAAGATTACTGGCTGCTAGGGTTTGAGAGGAGAGAGGCGTGGAGAGTGACTGCTGATGGGTACGGAGTTTCCTTTTGGGGTGATGAAAACTTCTGGAACTAGACAGAGCTGATGTTTGCATAGCCCGGTGAACATCTTAAATGCCACCGAATTTAAACTGTATGCTTTAAAATGGTTAAAATGGTGACTTTTATGTTAGGTGTATTTTACCATATTTTATTTGTTAATTGGATAAGAAGCAGCTGCCTGGGGTAGGGTGGCCAAGTCTCTCCACCCTCTGAACCTCAGTTTCTTCATCTGCAAAATGGGGGCATTGACCGAACCTGGACCATGGGCTGCTGGATGACAGCAGCAGGTGACACCTGCTGGTCCATAGGTATGGCCGCCACCTGGAAGCACTCCATCAGTGCACTGACAGGCTGCCTTCCCTGGGATTCCTGGGTGAGACAACCTCCGCTCAAGACAGACTCCAAGGTCTCCCTCCCCCCTGAGACCCCAGGCAGGTTCCACACGACGTTTGCCACGTAGCCTGCTCCTGGCATTCTGACTCATGATCATACAACAGGCTGGAGCAGGTCATATTTTAAACCCCAGTAGCCTGGTCTGAGCAATTCGACGCTCTGGATTTAATTCTGCAGGTAATTTGAACGATGCGATCTAATTTCAAATGTCCTGCTCTTATGAGTGCAAAAGCAGCATAATTTTTAATTAGTGGGTAAACAGTAAATAATGGATGGCGGTAAGTGGACACCACTGTTAATTAAAAATCCATGGTTGATAAAAATCAATTTGGCGGACGCATTTAACTCAGTCTATCAGGTCCCCAGGAGAAGTTGTGCAAGCCGGCCCAGGACACCATCTGCTTTCGGTTGTGGTTCCCTGAGCTCAGACTTTTCTAGGGGAGAAAAGAGGGAGAGAAAGGAAAGAAAATCTATAAGCTACCTCCAAAGCTGGGACTGGAAACATTTCATGAGTTCATTTCTAATCGGTTGGTTTCATTTTTGCAACCTTGAAGTTGAAGCTTCAGCCGAGAGGCAGTGTCATGCTCCACTCGGGTTTTTACAAAGAAGGGCTCCAGTTGCGTTTTGCATGTACATGTTCTGAATATGGTGAGATTTCACCGTATCTCTTTGTCTCCTGACTTAATTAAATCCCAATTTCTCGCAGAAAAGCAAGACAAACTGAAACACACTTAGCGGGAACATACTATCTCAGGATTCGTGTCAAAATATAACGTCGTGAAGGCGACATCTCTTCGAAGTGCCTTCAGAGGTAGTACCTGGGGGAAAGGTTCGTTTCCTTTTGAACAGAAAACATTTCCTCAAGAAATCAAGCTTTGTGGAGGCAGCGCCAATGTCATATTCCGGGCCTGTTCACGGTTTTGCTCTGAGACATAAGCTTGATTTTCCTACCACGCAAATAACACCCAGCCCCTTTTGACCTTTTTCTTCCCTTTGCGCCCATCCATTCCCCAAATCAACACTTGCATTGTCAAGCTTCACTGACAACCAGTGATGTTCAAATTAACCCGCAGAATTGGATCCAGGGGACCCAGAGGGTCCAGGTGAAGTTGATTTCAGGAGCACAAGAAGGCGTGAGCCGTGGACGCGGATGCATGTATGTCCCAGCTCAGGATTCCCGACGGGGCCATGCTGGGCGTTTGGCCCAACGTGGATGCCTACCCATCCACCCCAACATCCTGGCTCTGGTCCCCAAAAGGCTAGATGTGCCTGAGTTAACACAGAACCACTCTTTCAAGACTCCCCTTGGCGTGGACTCACTGCAGAATGGCCCTGAGAGCCTTTGGGGCAGCCCAAGTGCCCACTGTCCGTGGGGACACCACAGCCCTGGTACACTGGTTGTTTATTTTCATCTCTCTTATTTGGCTGTTTAAAGCCTGTAAATCAGGTGTAGGATACAGCAGGAATATACAGGGACCCAGTGCTACACAGGATTTTTACTCATTCCTTCATTCAGCCCCTCCCCCTGCCTGCAATGCAAAAGGAGCCATGGTTAAGCCGTCAGGCCACAGCCGATGGCCTGGCTCGAAGCCCGGCTCTGTCACCGGTGGCAGCCTGGGCCCCAGGCCAGCTAAGCCCGGGTCGCCCAGCCCGTGGCTCTACCCATCAGGCAGCGATGCCAACACCATCTCCTGGGCTGACGTACACAAATCTAAGATAATATAATAAAAATGCACGGAGCCGGTCCTGAGTGAACAGGAGCCACTGATGCCGTATCGTGGTCCCCGTCGGTGTCACTCCAGTATTTGTAGCTGGTCCCTGGGGACCCCGAGCGTCTCCCGGTGAGACCCCAGACCTCCAGGAAAGTGAGGAATCCACTGTGAGAGGCCGAGGGGGGCAGAGAGCTTGGGGGCCACGGGCCCCGTCAGACGGCTTCAAAGGGGCAGGGCAGGGACCCCAGCCTCCCTGGCCGAACTGCCCTTCCTGACCCTGCCAGGACGACGTGACTGTGTGCTGGGGGGTGGGCAGCAGGGGGCACCACGCATTCACTCCTCACTCAGCCCACACGTCCTCCTGGGCCTCCTGGACCGGCCCAGCAGGTCTCTCCGGCTGCCCGCCATCTCCGCCAGGCCCCTGCGCCCCCCGACCCACTTCAGCCAGAGGCGTGGTGGGACGAAGTGCCCCGGGAAGGCCTGTCGCAGGAGCGGGGCCAGCGGGTCAAGGCGGCCGCCCCTGAGCGCAGCCTGTCGCTGTAACACCGGGATGCCGCCCTTCACCAGGCTTCCCATACATCCCGCCATCGGGGCTGCGTCAAGCCCGACTCTGAGCAGGGATGACAGTTTCCAGGGGAACTGCTGCTCTTTGGCAGCTGAAGGCCCTGGTGCTCTCACCTCTGAGCTGCTCCTAGAAGTGAAGCTCCCGCAGCCAGGCCTGGCTTGTCTCCACGAGACGAGCCCATCTGGAGAGGGCGGGGACCCCGGGCCTGCCCCACTGTTCACAGCCTCCTCCCTGAGGCCTCCGAGCCCTACCCTGGCCCCGCTGCTGGCCTCACGCTTCAGCCTGACCCCACCACACGCATCCCGAGTGAGCACCACGGTGAGCCCGTGGGGATGGACGACACCCGGGCCTGGCACCACGGAGGGACCATGAACGGAGCGGCCACGCGCGGTGGGCACAGGTCTGGCTGCTCCAGGGGCAGAGGTCAAGCAGAGCCCGGGCTCCTGGTGAGAGGGGGTGGAAGTCCCACCGTTCGGCCCCTCTGAGTCCAGGCTGCCTCCTGTCCCTGGTGCAGGGCCCGTCCGCCACTGCCCGGCGGCACTCGGCCACGGCAGGCAGGCGCGCAGAAGGCAGATGAGTCCCGAGGCTGACTCGAGGCGCCCCGATCTGGGGAGCCCATTGCTGGCCAGGCAGGTGAAGAACCAGGGTGTGCTGGGATCGCTGACCCGGGTCCGTCTGCTTTGCAGCCCACACTGCAGAGGCAGCCGGGATGGCAGAGGGTAGCCGCCTGCGCTGGGGACCACATTGCCAGCAGCTCCTGCCCAGCAGAGCGCCCGTCACCGCACTGCTGCCCCCACGCCTGGACGGGCCCTGGATCTCCACTGGGTAAGACCCTGCTGAGGTCACGCTGACCACAGGCCCCTGGGCTTGGAGGCTTCACCCACCCTGAGCCTCAGTGTCCCATATCTGTGAAACGGGCACAATTCGTGCAACTGTCCAGAGGCCTGCCAAGCACGTGCTTGCTGTCGCCCTCCCCACAGTGAGCCTGGCAGGTCGGGACTGTGTAGGGCATCCTGCCCCAGCCACAGACAGCAACTGGAGGAAATGCACTTGTTCCACACACTGATCACCTTCTGTGCAAACACTTATTGAGGAGCTACTATGAGCTGGGTGCAGGGGGGAGCTGCGGTGGAGACAAGCCCTAAACACAGAAATAAGTGACATAAACTTGAGATGGTGAAAGACATAAAAGGGAGGATGTGAGAGTGAGCGGCCCAGGAGGGCTCTTTCGAGGGCGGTCACAGAAGGCTTCTCGGAGATGGTGACATTCAGTCGAGATCTGAAAGGAGGAAGGAGTCAGCCATCCAGGGAGCCAGGGGCAGAGCCAGGCAGAGGCAGCAGCTGGTGCAAAGGTCCTGAGGCCGGAAGGAGTAGGCCAGAGAGGGCCCGGGGTCCTGCCTGCCCATCCAATTCTCCTTCTAACCTGACAGGCTCACCTGACCTTTCAGAGGCCTCAGTGCTGCTCCGGGGCGATGGGCTTTGTGCTCTGCCCTCATGTGCGGGGCAGCCAGCTGGGTCCTCCCTCCCAGGGTCAGGGAGAAGGAAGACGGTGTCCTCCTCCACACCTAGTACATCCCCTCCTCCCCGGCCAGCCCCTTGGGCCAGTCCCATCCTGGGGTCAGGGACTGGACTTTCCATGTCCTCCACGCACCTCCCGAGGTCAGGGGAAAATCCAACTGCCAAGCATCTGCTAGCGCACAGGGGGAGGAAGGGGACTTGAGTTCCGCAAAGAGGCTCTGGGTGCATTCCCAGGCTTTGCCCCCTCCTCGACTCCACAGGCCAGGTGGGGTTCATGCACCACTGGCCGGGGTCACTCTGAGACAGAACTGAGACATGGGGAGGATGGGGACTGGCTGCAGGCTGTTCCTGCCCCAAGACAACAGCATTCCAGAGAGTTCTAGAAACTTCTAATATTTTCTTCCTAGAAAGTCCCCCATTGTACCCTTCAGACAGGCTTTGCTATTTTCTGGGAGTAGCGCAGGGAAAGATCCAGAGTCTGGGAACCACCGAGCTGTCTGGTGTGACCTGCTGCGTTCCTTTGGGCAAATCTTCCCACCCTCGGGCATGTGAGTCACCTCTCTCCATTTTTAACTACTGCCTGTACTGGTATTTCCTTACGATTTTTCTTTAAACCAACTTGCTTTTGTTGGTGTAAATATAGTCATGCATTTTTATAGCTTTATTGGGGGATAATTGGTATACTGTACACATTTATAGCGCTATGATTATTTTTAAAGGAAGTGTAAGATCACTATGGCTATGGGGAGCTGAGCCACTTGCCATAAATAGGAGGAAACCATAAAAAGAAAGTCTGGGCTTCCCTGGTGGCGCAGTGGTTGAGAGTCCGCCTGCCGATGCAGGGGAAACGGGTTCGTGCCCCGGTCCGGGAAGATCCCACGTGCCGCGGAGCGGCTGGGCCCGTGAGCCATGGCCGCTGAGCCTGCGGGTCCGGAGCCTGTGCTCCGCAACGGGAGAGGCCACAACGGTGAGAGGCCCGCGTACCGCAAAAAAACAAAAAAAGAAAGTCAATGAAAACAAAACAACATCATTAAATTTTCACCTGATTCGCTGCCTGCCTAAGGCCCTGAGTCTGTTCACTTTGGGAGAAAAGGGAGATTGGTGTTAAAGGCACATGAACTCCAACCGTGACTCTCTCCTTAATATAACCAGAAAGACTGAAAGAAAAGGGTGAGTGAGAACATGTTTCTCCTGCTCCAGCAGCGCTGGTGTGAAACATTTCGAGAAAATAACAGTACAGGTGGCACCTGGTTAGTGTAGCATTGTGCAGGGGGTACCTGCCTGCTCTTTTTCCCGGGGAACTTGTCCACCATCCACCCCAAAGCCAGGGTGTGACTGGGGGTCTAGGAGTCATGGTTTCATCACCAGCAGAATAGGGCCCGGGGGTCAGGGCCAGCCTGACGCCTGGCTTTGCAAATGAAGTTTTATTGGCACACAACCATGCCCACCATGTACATACTGTCTCTGGCTACTTTAGCTCCAGAACCACGATCTTGAGTAACTGCCACAAAGACGGAAATACTTATTATCTGACTCTTCACTGGAAAAGTTCTCTGGTTTAGATCAACAAGCCTGTCCCAGATGTGGGTGAAATGTGGTGGCAGGGGGCCCGTCAGCTTAGCCAGGGGGGAGACAATGTAAGCACCATCATTCACGATTCACTCAGCGAGGACCAGGGTTTGGGGGTCCAGTGTGTGCCAGGCCCTGGACCAGGTGCCAGGAACCCAACGGGGAGAGAACAGGCAGGACCCTGCCCCCAGGAGCTCAGAGCACAGGGCTCCCCAAATGGTGCGAAGGAGCCCCCGTTTCTTAAGCTCCTCCCAGGTGCCACCACTGTGCTGGCTGCTTCCTCGAAACCCTGACTGTGCATCCAGGGCCTCCCAGTCCCAGAGGAAGGAGCCAGGTGTTATCCAGGCTCACGATCCTCAGGAGGGACGGAAATGGGATTTGAACCCGGGTGCTCTGGCTGCAAAGCCTGTGTGTTTCTTGGGCCAAGGGGGATCCATGGGACCCACGGGGAGCCGGGCCAGGAGGGTGGATGTCCGCTGAAAAAGGCATTTGGGATGGCGTGAAGGACAGCTTCTGCTGAGGCCACAAGGCAAGAGTGGAAGGCCCCCAGCCCTCAAAGTGGGGCTGAGATCAGTTGGGGAAACTGAGGCTGCAGGCTCCCAGCCCTGAGCTGAGGCCTGAAACACAGGCTGCAGGAGGGGGATCCCGGAGCGAGGCTGGGGGACTCACTGCTCTGCCCAACCCCCCTCTGCCCCCGCAGCTGCGAGGTGCGCCCGGGACCCGAGTTCCTCACCCGCTCCTACACCTTCTATCCCAACCGCCTCTTCCGCGCCTACCAGTTCTACTACAGGGACCCCTCGTGCCGGGAGCCCGCCCATTCACTGCTCATCAAGGGCAAGGTGCGCCTGCGCCGGGCCTCCTGGGTCACCCGGGGCGCCACCGAGGCCAACTACCACCTGCACAAGGTGGGCGTCGTCTTCCACAGCCGCAGCGCCCTGCTCGACGTGGCTGGGCGCCTGGACCAGAGCCGGGCCGGCCGGGCCTGCGCGCGCCGCCTGCCCGCCGCCTGGGCCTGGCTGCCAGGGGCCCTGTACGAGCTTCTGGGTGCCGGGGCTGAGCGGGACTGCGCGGCCGCCCTGGGCTTCACCATGCACGAGCTCAGCCTGGTCCGTGTGCAGCGCCGCCTGCAGCCCGAGCCCCGGGACGCGCCCCGGCTGGTGGAGGAGCTCTACCTGGGGGACATCCACACCGACCGGGCGGAGCGGCGGCACTACCGGCCCACCGGTTACCAGCGCCCGCTGCAGAGCGCCCTGGTGAGTCTGGGGCCCCGGGAGGGCGAGCTCTGACAGCCTGTGGGATCTGCCCCTGCCTAGGGCCCTCTCTGCACAGCCCCCCTCCCCCCACCCCCCACCCGCACTGGTCTGCTTGCCTCAGGACCTTTGCACATGCTCTTCCCTCTGCTCGAGACATCTTTTCTCAGGTCTGGACAGAAGGAACTCCTGGGGAGTCTTCTGGAGTGTGGTCCTCCTGACATTCTCCTCGTGGACCCGGCAGGGTCCCTTCCTGCCCCTGCTATGCACGGGCAGGTCCCCCCTCCCTCAGTTCCCGGCTCAGACGTTCCCTCCCATCCCCACTCTGCACGGTTCCCAGCACCCGGCACACTCTGGGCTGCACTGTTTGTTTACTGGCTGGCCGTCTTCTCCCAATATCACCCGTGGCGGGGGAGGCCCTGTGCCCCTCCGTGTCCCCACAACTGGCCCAGGGGCTGGCACACGGGCTGGGCCAGTAAATGCTGGTGAATGAACTAGGGGGGCAGCTCCTCCAGAGCTCTGCCAGGCGGCCGCACAGCCCTGGAAGGCCCCTCTGGAAAGCTCCATGTGGACCCACTGTTACCCCGCAGCCAGCGGCGCTGAGCGCTCCCTGTCATAGTAACATCAGGCGGAGAAGCGCTTTCTCAGACTGTTCTCAAGATGCCGGCACCTGGGCATCTTCTTAGAAAGCACAGTCAAGTTTGCGGGTCTGGCCTGGGATTTTGCATTTCTAACAAGCTCCCAGGTGGTCCATGGACCACCCTCTGGGCAGGAGGCTGCAGTCTAAAGGGAGATGCCCTCTCTTTGAGATGTGCCCACCCCAAAGTGAATTTCACGTAAGTCAATTAACCTAGACTTCAACTTAAAGACATCACAAACATACTCTCCTGATTTGGGGGAGATCTGATAGCCCTTTTTTGTCCGATGAGCACACAGGCAAAAAGAAACTGAACTTTATGTATGTAAAGTTCTCCTGGCACATAGCACAGAGCCTGGTGGGCAAGGCTAGGGCCTCGTGACCACTCCAGTGAGTCTGGTGAAACCCCAGGACCCCTCCTCAGAAAAATATTTGTAAAAGCATAAAATAAAAGACATGGGATTTAAACAGAAACCAATTCTATGAAAAGAGTTACCCAAGTCTTAAAACACTCTGAGGTGTGAATACTATGAATGGGAATTCTTTACTCTCCCTATTTCAAAGTAGCAATGAGTATAAACAGTGTTTCTAGTATCTGCAACACTGTTAATATGAGATCGGCCACAAAGCAGAAGTTTCCACTGAAGCTACAGGGGTTTGTTGCCCACATTCACAATTAGAAGAAACTTTTGATTTCAGGTTGAGGTTTGTAAAAATGAAGTCGAGGTTAGGACTCTGGGTTAAGAATGTCTGTAGGAAATACCCAAGGGATATCTTTCAAAAGTGAGAATGGACGGATGGATGGGGGAATGGATGAGTTCAGGCATCCCTGTCAAGTGCTCTTTGAGCCCACAGGCAACCCTCACATGTTCAGCATGTACTGAGTGCCTGCTGTATACTAGACACTTACGGAATTAAACCGGATGGGGCAACATGTCACCCCTGAGAGCAGCCTCTTGTCAAAGCATCCCCAGTGTGTGGGGGGGGGAGGGGCACCAGGTTTGAGCCCATCTGCTCTCCTTCTCCCACCTCCCTCCTCCCAACCCAAGATCTGGGTAGCAGAGAAGAAGCACAGCGTGAAGCCCTCGTGATCAGAAAATCAGCCTGAGTTCTCTTCGTGACCTCGAGACGATTCCCCTTTTGGCAGCCAATGTTCTAGGCTGGTCTGACGCCCATCCTTCTTAGAGCCGAGAAGGCACTGGTGGTGGGGTGATTACCGGCACCCACCACCTCATTAGGAGGGCACACTGCTCTGAATGCAGAGAGAACGGACCCCGGGGCACGGAGGATGACAATGTCATGTCTCCCCAGGCCAGGCTCTGGGGCTGCAGACTCCTGCCCTCCTGCTGCCTGACCAGCCAGGGTGGCCCATGCGACCTGCAATGCAATTGCCAAGCAGAACATACAGGACCAGCGGGGCCAGATGTATGGATGTTAAATTAAATGTTCACTCACCAACCGCCCCCCTCCGCATAAGAAAACAGAGAAAGGAAGATAATTTCACAGAAGGATACACTGCAGATAAACCCCCCAAGTAACGAATCAGTCATTACCTTATGCTCTCCGGAGCCCAAGCCTTGCCCACAACCCAAACCAGATGGTAAACATGAACATTTTTAGAAGTTAATTAATTGAAAACCAATTTGATTCCCAAATTCATTGCCTGGATATAGAATCCTAATCAATCAGTCACCACTCGAGCAAAATCATCTAAGCCTGGTGTCGCCTCTGGGAGTTAACTGGAAGCTGTATGTGCTGTTGGTATAACTTTACATAACAGGCTTAAACCAGTAAGAGTTTGGCTTGCACACAAGTGTGAGCTCTGCTGGCTGGGGCCTTGTTTATTAACACGTGCAACTCCGGACGTGTGCACAACGATGCCTGGAAGGTTTTTGATAGAGACAGGTACTTTCTTCCATCCCCTTCCAGAGCATCAGAGAGGGAAATGCTTTCTCTCTCCCTCTCTCACCTTCAAGTCTTGCTAGTTCTCCATTTGTTTCTGCCATGCAGAAAACTGCTTGCCCCAAATTACCAACCAGCATCCCCAGATGTCCTGTCTGCAAAAGATATCTCTTTTGAGGGAGAAGGGCAGCCCTGAGATTATTTTGGTGTAACGCACTATGTCCTGTCAATACACATTAGTGTAACAACAGTTGGAATGTGGGTTAAAATGCCTAAATTAGAGGAGACTCTTACCAGCCAGCGTTCCAATTACCTGCACTCCAGCTAACTACCCAGCTTTCTTGCTTCTTTCCGTCACAAACCTTTCTGTAGCCATTTATTAGCATTTCCAAGTGCCTTCTAGTCCTCTGGGTCAAAATCCCCCAAACCAAAAATAATATCGTTTTCTGTATTATGGAAAAAAAGGCAACTTTAGGTTCACCATAGAAATAAATAAGAAGAGCTTATAATGTAGCAATCCAAGATAGAAAAAAAAAAAAAGTCTGTTCTCAATCATCCAATATTTTCTTTCTAAACTGGAACTCCCAAATGCCCCCTTGTTTGGCATGAAACTCATCCAGCAGCAATCTATGGAAATCTTTTGTTTTTTGAACAAAAAACATTGGAGCTGTTTTCCCAGCTGGGGCTTCAAGATGCCTTTCCCCTTCCCTGTCCTGTGTGTACCCATGGCCCTGGGTGTCCTTCTGGAACTGCAAAAGCTGGGGATGCTTGCTTTGACAAGTGGCTGTTCCAGGACATTTACCTCTCAGAATGATGCTCTGAACTAAATTCTGGGCAGCAGCTCCCTTAAAGAAAAAAAAAAAAGTCTGTATCTGGTTTCTCTTTGGCCTGGACTGAGCTTTTACGCTCCAGAATGCAGACCGACTACTCCCATGCGACTTGGTTTAGCATCTGCTTCCTGTTGACTGTTTTACTGTAAACCCAGCTCATGAGAATTTATAAGACAGGGGCAACTGTAAATAAGGCCAAGGTGAGAGGAAAACAGCCTCGGGCGACTGAGGACTGTGGCCACACCTGACAACCAACGCAGAGGGGGCTGGGTTTCCGATTATAAATAACACAAGCATGAACATCTTTGTGCCAAATCTCTTTGCAACTTTTCAGCCACGCCTCAGCACAGACGCTCAGCAAGGGGTTCCAAGGGCATGAGAATTTTAGTGGCTGTAAGGTAACAGTGCATGAAAAGTGCTCAGCACAGCTCCTGGCCCTTACGAAGCACCTAAAAAAGAATGAGTTGGGGGTGGGGGAAGTAACAACAGGCAGGAGAAAGGCAGTAAACATGAACGGTCGAATTTCGGGACCAAGCAGGCCGGGTGTGGGAAAGGACAACTTCTTTCAAATCCCAGGACACAAGTTCCAACCGTCTCTCCTTCCTTCATTTGCCCAATACACCTGCTGCGAGCAGGTACTGTGCTAGGCCCTGGCGATGGAGCAGCCACAGAGAGACAGACTGGGCTTCCTGGAGCTCACTCTCCAGTGAAGGGGAAGGAGTGGAGAGCAGAGGAAATAGGGCGTGACACGTCCCTGAGCACTAGAAGGGGCTGAGGCCCACCATACAAGGGGTGGTCGGGATAAGTCTCTCTAAGGCCTCTGAGCTGAGACTGAGAGGTCGGGAAGGAGGCAGCCAGGCTACGTGCCGGGGGGAGTTCCGGGTAGAAGCAGCAGCAGGTGCAAAGGCCCAGAGGATGGAGGAGCCGCCTGAGGTCCACGAAGAGTGAAGTGACCGTCCGGGCTGCAGGGAGGGAGGGAAGGGGTGACGGGCGGCCGGGGGCGGGACCCCGAGCCAGCCCGCCGCGGGTGCACCCTGACCTCCCCGCCTCGGAAGTCACCGCCTTCCCTTTGTCTCTGCCAGCACCACGCCCGCCCCTGCCCGGCCTGCAGCCTCATCGCCCGCTCCGACGAGCACCACCCGCCCGTGCTGCCCCGCCAGGCGGTCCTGCCCTTGCGCCTGGGCGGCCGCTGGGTCAGCCCCGGGTGCGAGGTGCGCCCTGCCGTGCTCTTCCTCACCAGGGTGTTCACCTTCCACGGGCACAACCGCTCCTGGGAAGGGTACTACCACCACTTCTCGGACCCCACCTGCCGGCAGCCCACCTTCACCATTTACGCAGCCGGCCGCTACACCAAGGGCACGCCGTCTGCCAGGGTTCGTGGCGGCACCGAGCTGGTGTTCCAGGTCACGCGAGCCCGCGTCACCCCCATGGACCGGGTCACCACGGCCATGCTCAACTTCTCCGAGCCGAGCAGCTGTGGCGGCCCGGGGGCCTGGTACCTGGGAGCCGAGCGGGATGTCACCGCCACCAACGGGTGCCTGCCGCTGGGCATCAGGCTCCCCCACGTGGAGTACGAGCTCTTCAAGATGGAGGAGGACCCCCTCGGGCAAAGCCTGCTCTTCATCGGACAAAGGCCCACTGACGGCTCCAGTCCCGACACCCCGGAGAAGAGGCCCACATCCTACCAAGCACCCCTGGTGCTCTGTGACAGGGTGGCCTGGGGCTTCTCCAGGCCTCCGCGGCACAGGCCTCTACTGCAGATGCCCGTCAGCGGTGGGGGGCTGGGCCCCCCAGCGGCCCCTCTCCCCTCCCTGCTTCTGGTTCTCGGGCTGGCCTTCCTCCAGTGGCTATGAAATTGGTCTCTGACTTCCAGACGGTGCCTCAGGACACTCGTCCGACCCCATGGACTCCCTTCTGGCACAGACTCCTCCACCCGTGACCGTCCTGGACAGTTACACAGCCCGGCCTGCATCCTAAGTGGCTCAGCACCTGAGTTTCAACAGCGCCTGCAGAGTCTACACCACGGCTAGCAACTCGAATCATGACCACAAACTCGGGCATCGCAGCAACGCCAATTGCTCCGAGTTCCCAAGCGCTCACTCCCAGCTTTCCTGGGCAGCGTGCGGACCAGCGCCAGGGAGTGGACCACACCCGTCTCCCTGCCCGACGGCACCCCAGTTCCCTCCCTGAGCCCTTGAGATTCAGTGAAATGGAAGCACGGTTCTGCACGCGCAAGCTGCCACTGCTCTGCTGAGTCTTGTTTAAAGATTATTAATTTGAATTTAGCAATACAAACTGAAACCCGAGCCATGAATTAAAGATGCTGCTTCGGGCTCTCGGTACGTCTCAGCTCACTGGCAGGGGGCTCAGCTCGTCTCTTTGGGAGCCTCTCGGCTTTCTCGAGTCGTGACTGCTGGTGTTTTGTCTGCGGCTGCCTGTGCTTCTGCGAGTCAGGCCTCGAGCTGTCAACACGGCGAGCGGGTAAATCCAGCCCTCCCCGGCCAGGAAGCAAATAAAGGCAGCCCCATCCACACCAAACCCCAGCGTGTAGGGCTGGCAGCCGGGGTCAGGTCTTTGGAGGAAAGCGGCGCTGCCAGCCTTTGGAAAGTAATTAATACTAATGACAGCGGTGACACTAATGTGCTCTGTAATTAGCCCTGCACAGGCGTCCTCTGTTCTCAAGATTCCCTGTGCTTGGCTGACAAGGAGGGAGAGAAACCTCCGACGCGTCTTTGGGACCATCCTAGGGTCAGCGGGCTACCTGGCCACATCTGGAGGAGGAGGGAGCAGAGCCTGCTCGCTGCAGTGCTAATGTGCTCAGAGGGGGCTGTCATCAAGGTGGGGACAGGCTGTGCCTCTCCAGGGACCCTGCCTGTGTTCCCAGGGCCTCATCGGTACACTGTGAAATTAGCTGGCATCCTGGTGGGCTCAAGGGTTTCCGCGATGCTGTGCCGATGATTCACGCCCTCCTTCTTCTGCCCGAACCCTTGTCTCTGGCTCTTATCATGGATCTTGAACAATTGTCTGTGAGGCTAATGGTGCTTTCAGAGGGAAGCCCTTGTCCTCTGTTCGGCTGTGTGGGGTTCAATCAGCCCGCTGAAATTGCCCTAACTTATCTACACAGCCTTCTTAAAAACAAAAGAAAAAACCCGAGTTAATATTCTCTGTAGGTCTCAGAGAGCTATGAGTGTTCGTGGCATATTTACCAAAGTACAAGAAATAATTCGTTTATTTACAGTCTCAGACTGCAGTGGGTGGTGTGGCAGTGTTCCTGGTGGGGATGAGGGTGGGTGGTGGGAACATGTCCACGGCTGAGCAAGTCTTGTATCCAAGGCTTAAGGCAGCCACACCACCATTTATCATCAAATTTGAATCTTTTAATAAAATTAAACAGCCTGAAAAATGTTCCTGCTGGTTATTAAAGTCAACCAAGGGGATTATGGTTCTAAAGAAAGGAAGTGAAGTGTCTTGAGAGAACGTGTGAAAGAGAATAAAACAAGTGGAGGTAAACCCCAGCTCTCTCTGTTATGCACCTTCACTTCACGCCACTGCCCTGTCCTAATTAAAGCTCTCTGGGGGCTTCCAGTGCACACAGAATAAAATCCCAGGTCTAGCAATACCTCCCCTTGCCCTGGCTGCACTGGGGTTCCTTCTGTTTCTTGATCACACCAAGCTGTTTCCTGCCTCAGGACCTTTGCATGTGCCACGGCCGCTGCCCAGCACCTCTTCCCCCAGATCTGCAGAGGCTCAGCTCCCCTCATTCAAGTCTCAGACCACATGTCACCTCCTCAGGGAAGCCACCATGAGCATCCCCCAACCCCCACCCCGAAGAGCAGCCTCCTTTGGCTGGCTGTCCTATCTATCCATCCCATCACTCTGCTTTCTGTTCTTTATAACGCTTACTGATCAGTGTCTGACTTATCCACACTTATTCTCTGCCTCAAGGGAAGGACTGAGTCAGTCACTGGGACCTCTTCCAGCAGCTTCAGCTGTACCTGGCCCACGGTAGAACTTCAATGAATACCGTCGGGTAAACCAGGTCGTTGGTGATCCTGGTTAACCCTCGCCAGCGAGGAAGTCATTGCCACACGCCTGGCATCCTGTGAGGGAGGCCCCACAGTGCAGGGTGTGACTCTGCAACTTGCAGAGAAAGCAGGCTCGGAGCAGAGAGGAACCAGCCCGAGGCCGCCGCAGCCAGGCCCCAGAGCCTGAGAGCTGAGCCTCCATCTTGGGGTGTCCCTCTGGGACTCTGGTCCCTGGCAGGGGTGGGATTCGTGACCATATTTGGGGAAAGCAGTTCAGAGCTGCTTTGTGGGACTGGCTGGGCCTCCCCTAATTAGGAGGCCCGTGCTCAGGAAGAGAGAAGGTTCCTGGCCCCATTGACTGGACTGAGGCACCCTCCCATCCCCAGCTTCTTGGTTCTGGAGCATTTGGTGCTGACAGAAAATCCCAGGCTCTTTTCTCCCGGGCAAGAAACCATGCTTCCCAGACTCTAGGCTCCAGTGAGGGGTGGGTTTGGGGTCCAAGGGCTGAGGGGACTCTCCCAGTGATGGGGACCCACCTTATTGTTAAGTCTGGACCCTCCACATAGAACCCAAGATAGCTTTAAGCAGAAGAGGCGAAAGTAAAACCCACAGTTGTAGTTCAAAACAAAACAAAACAAATGTTCTCCATTGTATGTTCAGCCACGTTTAAAAGGAAAACAAAAACAAAAACAAACCCGTGCAGTTTGTAATTTCATAGCACAGGCTCCCAGGAGGGTAAATGAGTATTTTTTGGTTTTGTTTTTAATAAAAAGTTTAAATTGTATACAGTTCTCAGAGGCCCATTAACAGATGCTGGCTATCAAAAGAAGTTCTTTCTTTGCTTTCTGTAAGCGAATGTGTTTCATCTCCCAGTGGTGCTGCTGGCGTGATCGACAGGGCTCACGGTGACGCGGGCTGTGCTGTACTGCCCCGGGCCCTGGGGCCGCTGACTCAGGCAGGAGCCGGGAGGGGCAGCGCTTCCTGCTGCAGGAGGGGCCGTGGCCCAGGCGGGGAGGGGGTGGACCTGGGCAGCAGCATGTGACTCCTAGTCTGCCCCTGATGGCCTTAAGTGACAGCCAGCCAGTTCCTTGTCACCCATAGCCCCCATCAGATGGATGTGAGCATGGAGTCAATCACCTGCCAATACTCCTGAGGACTCACCTTCTCAGCTTCCAGGTCAACCCTCCTGCGACCCCCGGATTCCCCGGATCCCCCTTTTGCCACCTCCATCCTCCCTCAGCCCCAGCCAGGTGGCCTCCCTGCTCTCTGGAACTCGGTCCCCCTCAGGCTCGTTGCCTCAGCTCCCCGCTCTCCCTGGAGTGCTCTGCCCACCAGGGCACCCTTTCTATTCCACCACAGCAATTTTCAGGGTCTCTAATACCCTATTTGCTTGTTTCCTTCTGTCTGGTCAGCCTCCCTCATCGACAGCACGAGTTCCTCGACAGCCAGCCCTTGTCTGCCTGGCTCCCCACTGTGCCCCCACGTGTGGAACGGAGCCTGGCACAGAGTAAGGGGCTCAATAAACACTGATGACTTGAAGAAATGCTCTGAGACCTGGCCGGAAGTACTCTGAATTCAAGCATCAAGATGATAACCACATACTTCAAATAGCAGCTTGGAATTTTTTTTTTTTTTCTTTTTAATAAGATGGGCGGAGCACAACTCTGTGATCTTGAGGACACCTGTCTTCTGCTAGCCAGGCTCTCTCTAGGAAGGACATTAGGGACTGCTGTCCCAACAGAGGGGGAAACACGGCCTGACATGGGGTCCCCCAAGAGTCCACCTCAGGTTTCTCATACTTAACAGAGGTCAGGGAGACTGGGGCCCCTCAACCTCACAGACACACCTAAGACTCTCCTTCTCGCTGCTTCAGTTTCCCCACCAGCAAGATGAGTTGAAACCTGGTAATTCCCGGAGCCACCCAGCCTCAACACCCAGAAAGCCCATAGCTGGCAAGTGAATCCGGAGGAATCAATGATATATATTCTAGGAGAAATGGCTTTAAGCCAGGAAACTCTCAGTGAGGATGGATCTTTTCTCAGTGATGTCGTATTTACTTCCTAAGGGCTATTAATTAACAACTTACTACTCTTCCGCTTACATTTGGTATTTTTTTTAATCCTTCAGGAGGAAAAAAGTTAACACAAAACTTAGGTGGTTATTGCTTCTGTTAAAATCAGCCATGCCAGTTTAATAAGACCTACATATATTGACTTAGCACCTACCACGAGCCAAAGACTATACTGGGTGCCTTGGAAGGACGGTCTTCCAAACTTCTGACTAAAGTGGTCAGGTAGAACACATGCTTTTCTCTCCAATTCCTTCTGAAGTCCCAATAAATTACAGGAAAAGAATCAAAAGGCACAAAATCACACAGATAAACAAAAAAAAAGGAAAAGACAAAAGAGCCAACAAGAGATGTCAGCAAAATTCTGGAATCTGGAAAGCTGATGGGCCACTTATCATGGACAGCAGGCTACAGAAAGCAAAAGAAAAGGGCTGGCAGGTTGATCAGAGGGGTAGAGCTCAGAAGCATGTCTACTCGTGCTCTGAGCCTTAGGAATTGGTGGCCCAAGGCGCCTCAGAGGCGGGAGAGCGTGGGGCTGAGAGCAGGAGGACCATTTGCAAGCCTATAAAAGGAGTTTTGCCCCCAGACTCTCTCCCTAACCCCTCTAACAGCCAGCAGTTTAACCAGGGGATCTTCGTACGTGGAGACCACCCAGGGCAAGGTCAGGTATGAAACTGAAAATAGAGGGAGTAAAGACAACTCTACACATGAAACAGTGAGGTTGTACAGTCTCTCCCTTCTTAAGAGATGACGGCCGGACTAATGCTGCCAGGAAGGAGGCTGT